CTCCATGACTAAGCCAATGTGGCGCTCAACAATCCCATTTTGCTGCGGTAAGGCTGGAAGCGTGAACGACTGGAGAATGCCCTCCCCACGACAAAAGTCCCGCAAGAGGTCAGAGGACAACTCACCACCTCTATCAGAGTGCAGACGCGGGACATGAAGGTCCATACTGAACCGCTCGCGGAGCTGGAGACGAACTGCACGGATCCAAGGGATCAAGACATCAACGACCTGACCCTTGCTGCGCAAGGGGAAGACCGTGGTGTACCGCGTGTAGTAGTCAACGACCAGCAGAAAGTAGCGCTCGCGGCCCTGTCCACTGACGCGGGCGGGGCCCCACACGTCCATGTGGAGAGTCTGTAGGGGAGCAGTCGTCGGGGGAAACGAGGAGCGGCGCGCTGCCGCCCCTTACGCAAGGAAGGCAGGGCGGAGCAGGCGAGGGTGGGAGGGGAGGCAGAGACTTCGGGAGACCAGACACAAGGAGGCGAGAGTGCATGCCACGAAGGCGTGTCAGAGAAGGGTGACCAAGGCGGTAGTGCCACAGAAGAGTCTGGTGCGACAGGAGGCGACACGAGCAAGGGGGTGCTACCTGACCTGACGCGGGCACTTGGGCAGACGCAACTACCTGAGGAAGATTGGTAGCCAGTGTGTACAGACTCGACCCTGGCCGACGAGTGAACGTGGTCAGGTGACGGCCCGTCCGTGTACACGTGCAGATCGACACACGATGACCCCCAGGAGTGGTGGTAGTGACCATCGCATCCTGGAGAGCAGCTGTACTCACCAAGTTTGTAGAGAACGAGGGGAGGTGAAGACCTGACAGTGAGCCGGACGGAACCGCCGGACACGGGAGGACAGTGGAGGAACAGGCAACGACCGGGCCCCCGGAGGGGTCAGCCAGTCGGACCGGGACAGGTGCAAGGAGAGGAGTGAGAGTGGTGCTGTCACGAAAGAAACAGCGTGAGGCACCTGAGTCCAGCATGAAGGTTTGCACGGCCTCAGCACGCGCAGTTCCAGGGAGAGTACCAACTCACTAGCACCTAGAGCAGCAGCCGCTATACCTGGGTCAGGTGGCTTGCACTGGTAACTATCACCCTCAGCTCTTACAGACAAAGCATACATAGCAGAAAGGATAACATCAAACTCTAGGTCAAAGATAGAAACTCCAGACCTAAGCAGATATGCCCAGCGAGCGCGCTCGACCTCATCACCAAACTCAGCATGCCAAGCGTTGTCGAGGCGGGAGAAGAAGCGGTGCTGAATGTGAAGCCTTCCGCATGTCTGACCGGCACGGTCACCCGTGCAAATGACATACGGACAGCTATCTCTGCCCCCAAACGTCCCACGCTAAAACAACCACTCACGAAGCTGCTGGGGCGACTAGGTCTCGCTCCGACGTTGATGCTGCTGCCGCTCGCCACCTCCACAACCTCCACGCCGAGCTCCAGTCCTACCGCCACGAGTCCCACCGCCGCCAATGCTGCCACTCCCACCGCTGCCTCCACCGCCGCCACCAGAGCCCCCACCCCCGTCACCAGTCCCACCGCCGCCACCACCTTCACCACCCCCACTGCCTCCACTGCTGCCCCCACCACCACTCCAGCTGCCCCCTCCACCACCCCTGCCACCCTTGCCCTTGCTGCTGCGGCGCTTCGCACTAGCAGAAGCAGCTCTGACGTCCTCAGCACCAGGGACGTCTGCAGCTGTAGCAGAGGCGTAGGAGGGGGCAAGGGGGGAGGGGGAGCACCCCTCAAAGAAGGGCGTGCGCGGAGTGCCACGAGCAGCACCTACAGCGACTGCACTAGTCTCAGCTGTGAGGAGGTGCTCCTCGAGTAGGTGAATAGTGAGGGAGGTGGGGTCAAGTGAGAGAAAGTGGTCCCTGACAGAGCGAAGAGAGTCTGGGAGGCGAGTGACTATGAAGTAGAGGGTGATGAACATCGGGGGCGGGTTCCTGTGAAGGAACTCAGCAGGGACGGTAGCGCGGTAGCGAGCGTCACAAGTGCGCAGGTGGGCTACTGTGGCAAAGGCGGACAGCTCGGGGAACAGGTAGGGCAGAAGCAGGCGGCCTAGAGCAGCAGTGGCAGGCAAGGAGTAGCGAGAGACTACAGTGTCGTACAGTGCCTGTGCTGTCCTGTGCTGTCCGAAGTGAGCGCATTCGGCTAACGGCAGGTGGTTGCAAATGGCTAAGCGGGCAGCAGCGTCGCGAGTAAGCCACTGTAAGCGAGTCGCACTGTCAGCTGTGGCGGGAGGGGTAGTAGCGGCTCCTGACGCGAGGTCAAACAGTGAAACACTATCCTTAGAATCGCTCAGTAGGTATAGCTTTAGATGGTCAAGCCATGTGTCAAACTGATTTGGTCTGCCCTCATGATCGAACGCGAGAACTCGAAGCGAAGCCATAGTGGCGCAGCACGCAAGAGCAGCAGTAGCAGCAATAGCAGTAGCAGCAGTGGCAGCAGCAATAGCAGCAGTAGCAGTAGTAGCAGTAGCAGCAGTAGCAGTAGCAGCAGTAGTAGTAGTAGTGGCAGTAGCAGCAGCAGGGGCCGAGGGGCCGGGGGGCCAGGAGCAACGGGCCGAGGGGCCGGAGGGCCTAGGGGCGACGGGCCGGGGGGGGGGGGCCCAGGGGCGACGGGCCGCAAGGCCAGGAACAAAGGGGGGGGGGGGGGGGGGGGGGGGGGGGGGGGGGGCGAGGGGCCGGGGGCCTTTGGGCGACGGGCTGCGGGGTCAGGAACGAAGGGGCCGAGGGGCCTGGGGCCTAGGGGCGTCGGGTCGCGGGGCCAGGAACAAAGTTGGGGCCGAGGGGCCGGGGCCTTACGGGCGACGGGCCGCGGGGCCAGGAACGAAGGGGCCAAGGGGCCTGGGGCATAGGGGCGACGGGCCGCGGGGCCAGGAACAAAGGGCCACGGGGGGGGCCTAAGGGCGACGTGCCGCGGGGCCAGGAGTGAGGGGCCGGGGGCCTAGGTGAGACGGGCCGCGAGGCCAGGGGCGACGGGCGAGGGTCGGGCCTAGGGGGGGGGGTCGACGGGCGACGGGCCTCGGGGCCGGGGCCTAGGCAGGGACGACGGGCTGCGGGGCCGCTGGGCCGCGGGGGGATCGACGGGCGACGGGCCGAGGGGCCGGGGCCTAGGTTAGGGTCGATGGGCGAAGGGCCGCGGGGCCGGGGCCTAGGCTAGGGGCAACGGGCCGCGGGGCCGGGGGCGACGGGCGATGGTCGGGCCTAGGGGGGGTCGATGGGCGACGGGCCGCGGGGCCGGGGCCTAGGCTAGGGGCGACAGGCGATGGTCGGGCCTAGGGGGGGTCGACGTGCGACGGGCCTAGGGTCCGGGGCCTAAGGGGGGTCGACAGGCGACGGGCCGCGGGGCTGGGGCCTAGGCTAGGGGCGACGGGCCGCGACGAGCGACGGGGGTCGGGGCCTAGGGGGGGGTTGACGGACGACGGGCCGCGGGGCCGGGGCGACGGGCCTAGGGCGACGGGTCGGGGGTCGACGGGCCGGGGCAACGGGCCGGGGCGACGGACCTAGGGCGACGGGCCTAGGGTCGACTGGTCGCGGGGGCAGCAGGGGCAGCACGAGGGCTGCAGAGGGCGGCTAGCGGGGTAGCGCTGTGGTGAGCCCAAGGAGAAAAAACGGTCCTAGCGGAGGACCTGCTCTGAAACCATGTCAGAATAATGAATGAGAATGAATGAACTAGCTAAGAGTTGGGTACAAGTACTAACCCTAATTGGGTTGTACCCCTTATGGGCTACCCACCGCACTATAGCCTACACAAATATAAGCAGTATATCATTCTGACAGGACGAGATCGAGAAAGGGAGACTCGAGCTATCCTACTCGCCCACGTCCGAGATGGCAGCAGATTACCTGACCAACAAACTCGGATAGCATAAGTTTGAGTACTGCATGCAGCTGACTGGACAGGGCCACGTCATCAGCAATGAAGGCGATGACACTCCAAAAGCGAAGGAGAGTGTTGGAAACATCTAATTCATGCTTCTGATGTGTCGAAGCACTAAAACAAGAACGAAGCATATCCACAGCGAAGCAACACCGGGTCAACCAAGATACAGTAAAGCGGTTGACAAGGCGATAACAGCAGGAGGTTGAAGCGAAGGTCAAAGGTCAGCAACCTTTGACTCGACAAAGGCAGCGCGGCAGCAAGGACAAATAACTGACTCGCTATTGAGCAGTTACCCGAGTCGTCGCCGTATCAAACCGCAACAGCAGTCACAGTTAAACCTTTCGTATTCCTTGTAATCATATAAAACCTTGTATCTCTTTGCTATAATCAACTCATCTTGTTCTCACATACTAGTGCAAGGTGGTTTAATTGGTTTACTATTACGCTTCCGCTAATACATTACTACTCTGAGACTTGAGTCTTGAGAAGGATCCTAAGGGCTTTTTCAGCCCAACATCCCCCATGGCACTCTATCAGCCTAGCTGCGTGCCTCCTACTCGCACTCAACCACCATCAGCCTTGTTGCGGGCTTCCCATTGTGATGGGTTGTGTCACCCTCCGCCCTTGGTGTTGGTGTTGAGTGCCCAAACCGCGCCAGCTGGTCTTAAGTCGATCCACCACCAACCAGCTCAAGCGCCTCGAACCTGCCTCCTCGACACTGGCCCGTTCGCTGCACTTCAGTCGTGAGTCACTCAACTCGTGGGAAGCAAACAAGCTGCTGTCCTGCAGGCAGTATTTGGAAGGCACCACACGAGCTACCATACCCTTGGGCTGTCTAAGCCGTATCCATGCTTTGGGGGATTGTATTGCATGCCACAGCTTCCACCTGCATGGCTGTGCTGCTACTCGTGGCGACGGGGGCACTAAAGCAGCCAGGGGGGCAGCCTGCTCATGGGAGGGCAGCAGGCAGCGATCATGCTGGGCGACCTGGAGGCCAGGGCAGCAGCCACCCACCTGGCCTGTGTGAGCCACGAGGGAGTGCTTCTACTTCTTTGCGTTTCCTACTGAGTCTACACCCATGTGGCCGTGCTGCTAGTCCTGGCAGAGGAATCATTGTGGCGGTTGGGAGGTGAGCGGGGTGAGGTCCTGCAGGCCGAACTGGAAGCCCGCACACATGCCAAACCCCGCCGGCCGCTCCCATCCATGTGCCAGCCTGCTGAGGTTGAAGTCCCACCCGCACCCCGACTGGTGGGGGGATGCGGGGGGACAGGGGAGGCGAGGGGGGTGGATGGGAGGTGTGTGTGGAGAGGGCGGGGGGGGAGGATGGGAAGTGTGCATTGGAGGAGATTGAGGTGTGGCACGTGCGGACTTGGCATGCATGGAGATGTGAGGTGCATGCCTGGCAGCACCCTCCCATGGCAGCACGCACCCATGGCAAGCACTCCCATTTGAAGCGCATTAAACAACTCACCCATTTGACGTTGCCACCGCCGGTGTCACAAGGTTCACACGGCACGCGCTCGCACACAGGCCCAGGCGAGGTCCGCCAGTCTACGTGGCGCATGTTGACCACCGTGATGGCCATGGAGTAGGCTTCCATGCCCGCCAGCCCCGCTGCCACTCGGCCGAACGATGACAGGTGCGTTATGAGCAGGCGGTCGCTGGGAGGGATGTGGGGGGGGGGGGTAGGGGACTGATGATTAGGACAGGGGTTGGGTAGACTCAAGGCAGGTCACTTGGCGCATCTTCACCACGTGATGGCCTTGGAGAGGAGAGTGCATCCATGCCTGCCAGACCCGCTGCCGTGCGACCGAACGAGGAGAGTTGTGTTATGAGCGGGCGGTCACTGGGAGGGATGTGGGGGAGTTAGGGGTTTGATGAGGAAATACTTCGACCTCTTGAATCTATCAAGACTACTATTGCTGACAAACAGAGAAAAGTGTTATATTAGGGCATGTCTCACCAGAAGTGACTTTTGAGTCGATTCAGAAGGCACCTTGCACGGCTCACCAGAAGCTGAGGAGCTCCCCAGAAGCTGAGGAGCTCACCAGAAGCTGAGGAGCTCACCAGAAGCTGAGGAGCTTACCAGAAGCTGAGGAGCCAGATTTCGATGACAGTGGCAACGAGGTGCTGCTCCTTCCTGTTCTCCACCTCCTCGCTTGTTAGCCTGCCATGGAACCCGTGTGGGCGGAGGCGAACAGCTTTGGAATAATGCTGCTGATATATTCATGAACAACAACGAACCCAATCCCCCCAGGGCTACAAGGTTGACTTTTTAGGGTGAGGTGGGTGGGTGGGTAGGTGGGAACAATGATCCAGGTCCCCTGCCCAACACTACCAGAGTCTGGGCAAATGCACGGCTCAAAATAGACGGGAGAATGCCGTAGTTTACTCACGACCAGAAGGCAACGAGCGTGTTGCCGATGGGCATGTGGTGCGTGTAGTGTGCCTGCAGCTCCAACATGGTTTGTTTTTATTTTCAAAATCAGCTATTCTCAAGGACCAGCTAGGAGAGGAGAGGAGACGGCAACTCACGACCAGAAGGCAACGAGTGTGTTGCCGATGGGCATGTGGTATGTGTAGTGCGCCTGCAGCTCTAGCATGTGTTGCAGCGATAAGGATGACACAAACACCCCCATCGTCATGTGCGGCGCGTGCGAGGGCTCCTTATTGACGGACTCGAGAAGAGCCTGGATAATAACAGCAAGCGACAAGGATTGCATGCACGGCTTGTGTTTGCAAGAACAACGGGCAGCCTTGTGCGTCATGCTGCTCGAATGCAGGCCAGATAAGAGGTCACATGCAAGAAACGAGTTTGTGAGTGAAAACAAGCGGGACGAGAGGGAGGTTAGCTATGCTGTCTAATCCCAAAACGGTGCAAATTGACGACTGTTGAATGAGAGGAAGGAGGTACCTCTTACTCCAAATCAAGGCTTGTGTGGTGGATACGACCCTCAGCATCATCACGTGAGCGTATGGCCGTGTGTGAGGTATTTAGTGAGGGGCAGAAGCCCAAGAGTGAAGGATGTGCGTAGAGCGAGGGCAGAGAGCGAGGGCAGAGAGCGAGGGCAGAGAGCGAGGCCAAGAGCATCACAGTGAAGGCTATAGCACTCCCAGCATGAGCACGCTCACCTGTGAGTACGGCTGTGTGAAAGGCAGGTAGTGTGACACAGCAGCCCCACACTGGAGGATGCGAGCTGAGAGGGGCAGGTGGATGCCATCGGGCGAGCGGATCTGACACAACACAAGGGGCGTGAGTGACAACAGATGAAGGCAGAAACGCAAGGCAGGTGAAATAGAAGGCGCAGCAGAGACTCCCATTCAGGTCGATGCCATCAAGCGAGTGGATCTGGTACCAGGGGTGTGAGTGAAGAATACACACAAGGTGGAACCGCAAAGAAGGTGAAATGGAAGGTGTAGCAGAAATTATCGTTCAAAGGTGGCAGATGGATGGATGTCATCAGGAGACGGGATGTGTTGTGTCAAAGCACTATAGTGGCACGGTCATCGCACTCTCATTCCTTCTACAAGCCTGCTCAGCTTCAAGAATTTTGTGGGGAGGTGCTTCAACATGTGTTCTTCAGACCCTCAAATTTTCAGATTTTTTGAAGCAGTTTACAAGACATGGCAAGATTTTTAGTTTCAAGACTTATGGCATCCCGGAAGTGTGTGTTACTCTTTTTTGGTAACACCCGATTTCACCATTTCGGCTGCTGACTCATCTACCAAGCTCTGATTGGTCTGAAAATCGGTGTGGCAGTCATTTGCCGCATTGTTCAGGTGGTCACCGAGGTTCAGGACAACCCAGCATCGGAGCAGCACGTGACAGCTGTCGAAAGTTACTGTTCCGTAGTCATGGTGCACTGTTGGTAGCATTTCCCTTGCCACCCTTTCATTGTTGTCATGCCAATGGTGCAGGGACAGAGAATGAGACAAGAAGTACAGGTGGTCAAGTGGGACTCTACCACCTTTTTTTTGAGAAGTGTGGTCTTCTTGGAAGCAGCTTGCAAGAGGGTGCAAGTGGGAAGAAAGCTGACTCATGGTTGGCTAGACTCACTATTGGTATCCTTGAGTACAGCTCTGAACATCCAAGTGTGGTTGGCTTTGTTGACATAGCTAGGACGTTTCCCATCTTTCTCTAGACTTTCTCCCCTATGACTCAACCTTCTCTGAGTTCCCAGGATGGTCCCAACCCCTTAAGAGTCTCCTAGGCAATGTTGTACTCACCTCTTCCTTGCATCAATGAAACTACAAGTTTTCAGCCGAGCTTACGTTTTTTTGTTCACTGCGTAGCGCATACACCTCTGATGAAAGCAAGCAATATACCGTTGGAAAGCAGACACCTGAAGCTAACTTCTCTCCAAGTTTCAGCCTCGTATGTTATCGGAGCTGATCGTGACGACGTTTTGAACAGAGGCAGTTCGAAGTCATCAGATTCTACTTAGGCGGTTTCAAGGGCATCCGCGACCCCTAAGTGGACTCTAGACTATAACAGGATGTGCCACAATGGGTGCGAATGAGGCTGACACATGACGGGACAACAAGACAGGTGAAATGGAAGGGTTCGCAAACCACCCTTGACGTAAGTATAAGGATTAGTTTGAATCCGCTTTCCGGTTATTTTCCTATCATCAGCTCGTACTAGGTTCGGATGGGGTTTCAACCCAACCTGCTCGATGATTTGTACGTCATTATTTTATTCTTGCCACCTAACGTCCTTGGATCTCAGGCTGGCTGGCACCTTAATAGGCTTTTAAGCCATCCGGGTAGTGGTACCCGTGTGATGGGGCATTCAGAAAGGAATGATTGTAACAGCAGCATCACATCCCACTGCAACCAAAGCAGCCTCAAACGCCCTGCCTGCCTGCAAGCCAAAGGGGAGGGAGAAGTGGGTGGGGATGGCATGAAAGGTGAAGCAGTACGCACCTATCATCTGGACACGGAGACTTGTGTACCAAACCAAGCAGCCTCACACACATCCCACATCATGTACTCAAATCAGCCTTACCCCCCTCCTCCTCTGCCCACCCACCTGCAGGCCGAGGCGGTGGGAGAAGTGGGCGAGGTTGGCATGGAAGGCGGTGGTGATCTGCGCCCACAGCTCGTTGTCTGGATGCATTAAGAGGCGCACTGCGTGGGTGAAGGCACGACCACCTGGGAACAACTCACGTAGACGGTCCTGTGATGGGGGGTGGTTGAGGGGGGTGGTTGCATGGACACATGTGGGATGGGTCACGGGTGCCTGAGGGGTGGGCTGTATGGGTGAACACACGACCATCGGGGAAACTCACGTAGATGGTCGGATGGTCCCGTGATGAGCGGGTATTGAATCGGGATGGTTGCACAGGCATACGTGTTTTGGATGCATGAGGAAGCGAGAGCAACTAGCGTGATGGGGGAACGAGAGGGGGTTGATACATGGGGCGACTGTCTAGTCTGCTTCTGTGGGCATGAGAGATTGGGCCACCCATGTTGTTGACTTCAAAGGTGACACTTCAAACCACTACCAAAGGTGACACTTCAATCTTGTTGACTTTGGATTGCCTCTAAAAACACCACCTTGCAGAGAACCACAGAAGACACGTGAACAGTACATTTCTTACTCACCCGCGGACTCGGGGATATAGTGGAGGCTGGGGATGATGTAAGAATCGACTTTTGCGAGAATTTGGGATAAACTCTTGGAACTCCCCGCGACCTCTGGGAGTAATTCAGACTGGAATGACGTACGCATGGATGCTGGGCAGCCATCTCGTAGAAACCACAGGGGACATCACATCACATGGCAAGTGCACATCACATCACATCACAACGCATCGCAAGTGCACAGCACATGTCAATCAAACTCACCGCAAACTCCGGAATGTAGTGCAGGCTGGGGATGGTGTAAGAATCGATGCCGGCCAGCCAGAAGGGCGCGACAGCAGCGGTGCTCCACAGGTCACTGCAAAACATGTTCCACGTTCTGGTGGTTGCAGAGCATGGTGGAGGGAAGGAGAAATTTCAGTGTATAGCAGCCGGCATAGCAGCAGCACTGCTCCACAGGTCGCTGCAGAACACGTTCTATGTCCTGGCGGTTGGAAAGACAGGGCGAGTACAGGGAAGAAGGGTGAGTTTATTTAACAGTTGGGTGCACGGCAACAGCACAACCTATTTCCAGTGTGGCGCAGCCGGCATTGCAGCAGCAGTGGTGCACAGGACAGGGCGCTGCGAAACATATACCAGGTCCCAATGGTGGGGCAGCACGGAGGGGTAGAAGAGAGCACTGCAACACCGCTAGGTGCTTGCTGGGAAGTCAAGCCCCTCACAGAAGAGTGTGGTGTGGTGACAGCACCGGTGCACAGGTCACTGCGAACATGTTCCAGGTCCTAGTGGTGGTGGGGTTGCACGGGTGAAGAGAGGAGGCCTGTGGACGATGCTTCAGGCTTCCAGTGGGTAGGGCAACGTGCATTGCAACGTGCATTGCAACCTGCGTTGCAGCCTGCAAGCAGTGCTCTTGTACACGACACAGTGGAGTGGAGTGTGCTGCTTTCCAGCTCCCAGTGCATGGAAGGTGGGCTGAACAACGAAAGCAGGATACTTTGTTGCCGACTGAAGGACAGTGGATTGTGGATGTGAAGCTACTCATTGTGAGGTGCAGCATCAGATCTGGTAAAGAGCTCACTATAAAACACGTTCTTCATGGCAGCAGGGGGACAGGAAGAGAAGCGTTCCTCGCTTGGAGGAGCATATATGAAGCTTGTTGATGTTGACATCATGCACGCACCATCCACCACTCACTTGCGATACAGGTCCATCCACACCACGCCGAGCTTTGCGTAGCCTCAAAGCTCGTTTCATTCTTGAGTCGAATCAAAACCCACCACTCACCTGCGATAAAGGTCCATCCACCACTCACCTGCGATACAGGTCCATCCACACTGCGCCTTTGTTGACCACCTGCCATGGCAGGTCTGTGCGTGCCCCTCCTTGCGTCGCCTTCAGCTGCATAGCCATGCTGGTGAGCAGCAGCCGTGGCTTCTGAAACACTGTGCCCAGGATCAAGCTGCAGTGGGGGGCGCAGTGTAAAGAAAGTAGTGTTCGTCTGTAAAGTACATGAAATCTCGTTCTGATACCCGTTAGGGCAGACAGGCATAAAAGTCACTGCTTGTAGGGTGCTCATAATATTCTGAGCAGGATTTAGTTCAATAAATTGGCAAGCCAATCACCCGCATCATTCGCAAGGTGTGCCGCATGAACCAATGTGTGGCACAGATGTGTGCGTTGAATGTGCGGTCGAATGGAGCGAGCGAGAATGTGCATGCAAGCCAGAGAGTTGAGTGCAGCCATCCTACAGCTGTCAACGCTGGCGAGTGAGAATCATGCGGGGGCTAGATCTGACGGATGGGGGTGAGAGTCGTGTATCGCTGTGAGGGGTGAGTGTGAGAGCCGTGTATCGCTGTGAGGGGTGAGTGTGAGAGCCGTGTATCGCTGTGAGGGGTGAGTGTGAGAGCCGTGTACGTCTGTGAGGGTGATACGGAGGGACGTACTCATAACTGTGCGAGTCAACGGTCCAGGAGGTGTTGGCGTGGGCGAAGGGGTTGCAGAAGCGGCGGGTGAGGAAGGCAGTTGGTGGTGTGATGATGGCTTGATGGGTGAGAAGACCCAAGATGAACGCCGTGACGTATGCTGTGATCTTGTTGCCCACGCCTGCCAAGTGGGTGTGTGTGAGGGTGATACTGCAGAGCAGAGTGTACATGAAGTGAGATTGGAATGCCTTGCTGAAGCTCCCATTGGTGTGAGGGGCTTACCTAATTCTACTTGGCTCACCTTGTTTTCAAGGGCATAAATGAGGCGCCTCAAAAGGCGAGAGTGCACACTGGCCTTGCCGTGTAACTCCCACATGGCTCATTCACCTTGTCGCATTGCATGCCCGTTCATTGCACCATTCAGCAACTTCTGAGGAGCCTCAAAAGTCCTGCTCCACCAATCAGCGGCTGAGTGTGGCGAGGGCAGCTCGTCCATGGCATTGCATGCCGTGACACAAGGAAGGTATGTACTAACCTCACCTCGTTTCATGGCCTCACCTCGTTTCAGCTCCTCTCCTCGTTTCATTGCCTCACCTCTTTTCAGCTCCTCTCCTCGTTTCATTGCCTCTCCTCGTTTCAGCTCCTCTCCTCGTTTCATGGCCTCACCTCGTTTCAGCTCCTCTCCTCGTTTCATTGCCTCAGCTCCTCTCCTCGTTTCATTGCCTCTCCTCGTTTCAGCTCCTCTCCTCGTTTCATGGCCTCACCTCGTTTCAGCTCCTCTCCTCGTTTCATTGCCTCAGCTCCTCTCCTCGTTTCATTGCCTCACCTCGTTTCAGCTCCTCTCCTCGTTTCATGGCCTCACCTCGTTCATTGCCTCAGCTCCTCTCCTCGTTTCATTGCCTCACCTCGTTTCAGCTCCTCTCCTCGTTTCATGGCCTCATCTCGTTTCAGCTCCTCTCCTCGTTTCATCTCCTCGCCTCGTTTCATCTCCTCACCTCGTTTCAAATCCTCACCTCGTTTCATGTCGTCTATCACAATGTAGCGGCATGGCTCCCTGTCAGGCCCATGACGTGGCAGGTGATTGCTCCTGGCACACAACAAACAACACAAGGCATGTGCAGACAGCACGTGCAGTGAGTAATGTGCTTGCCATAACACAGCCCTTTTACAGTTGGGTGATTGGCAGAGTGTGGAACGGAGGGTGAAAAATCGTCACCCCGACAAATATTCTCGACCTTACCCATGCCGAGCATACCATTTTCCTTTGTTGCCCACCCACGCCCACTGCTCTGCGCCTCCCTGCGCCACGCACTCCCTCTGCATTGCCTCAAAGGCCTCCACTGCGCTCAAGAATGCGTTGGATGGTGGGGCGGTGTTGGCCTGCACGCACAGGTTTCAGAGCATGAGACAGGTGTGAGAGCATGAGACAGGTATCAGAGCATGAGACAGGTATCAGAGCATGAGACAGGTATCAGAGCATGAGACAGGTATCAGAGCATGAGACAGGTATCAGAGCATGAGACAGGTATCAGAGTATGAGACAGGTATCAGAGCATAAGACGGGTGTGAGAGCATGAGACGGGTGTGAGAGCAGGTGACACCACAGCATACAGAATTGCAGCAGCATTGCAACTTGTGGCGTCATAATGCGTGCTACAGATACCCGTCAGGCGCCATACCGTGTGCTACAGATACCCCTCAGGCGCCATACTGTGTGCTACAGATACCCGTCAGGCGCCACACTGTGTGCTACAGATACCCGTCAGGCGCCATACCGTGTGCTACAGATACCCGTCAGGCGCCATACCCTGCAGTACAGATATCCTTCTCATGCCATACCGTGTGGTACAGGTGTCGCTCCTGCTGGCTCCAGCACGAGTCAGCCGTGCGGTACAGCGTGTGGCGCCACGCCACAGATGCATCGAATCTGGACGTCGGATCCGGCAGCTCAAAACCGCGTCCAATGTTACTCCCACCACCGCCCCCCTTGCTTTCTAATACCCTCCCCACTCTTTCGCTGCCTGCTCCTCCGCTCATCGCTCCCTCGCTCCCTTCGCCGCCTGCGCCGCCTATCCCTGCGTCGTCGTCGCGGCTGCTCAGACCCGCGCCGCCGCGTGCCTGGCCGCTGGGGACCGTCGCGACGAGAGACAATGCCACCATGAGTGTAACCGCGAGCTCGCACCGTTTCCGCCTATCGAGCTCGAGCCGCGTACCCATGTGTACTACTAGTAGTGATGATCCGACACGCAATGGCATCACTGTGCTAGTGATCGCTGTGCTAAATGCGCCCTGATCTGCTATGGTAGCTCTCCTCCACTCGGGTTGACCTGAGTCCTCAAGTGTCAAGCCACTAGCGTTTTCCGGTACTAGTAAGCATCGGTCCGACTTCAAGACATTGTACTGTTATCGCAATCGTCGTACTAGATCGTTATCCTTCGCCGGCAGACATCGTCGGACGTCGCACAGAAGTCGCGCGTTCAGCATCCGACGTCACTGCTCTATGTTGTGCGTTCATTGCGACGGCAAAACCGACGGACAAGGCCTAACAAATTCGACAAAATGGGTGGATGAAGAGAGACTTGGGGACCCTGCTGCTCTGACAGAACTTGATGGGTTTTTAGTTGAAGGCGCACTGTTACTGAACTTATTCGCTCCCCGCGTGGCGACAGCGCTTCGGGCGCACTGTTACTGCCAAGAATTCGTTCACAGCACAGAGATATTGCGATTTCAACGCAGATTTTCATTCATTGGTCATAATTTTGACGGGCCGACAACTCTGCTTGGGTTGACGGCCACGAACCGTCAAACGCTAATATTTCGGGCATATCAAATATAAAACCCTATCGGGTGGCATGTTTTTCGAGGGAGTCATCAACCTGAAACACCACGCGGCAAGGTGTTTAGGCTTGGTGCCCTTCTCAACGAGTATATTTTTTCAATGGTGAACCATCGATAGAGCATCAACCCTAAACACCATTCGGAAGGTATTTCTGGTTGAAACCCTTCTGAATGGGGTACATATTAATTTATTACCAAAAGCATAAATACAATAGTTACTGTTTTCGCTGACAGTATCAACAGGTTCAGTTTGTAGTTATGTGCCATGTGTCGACCAATGAAATCAAACATGCGTTAAAATCGCATTATTTCTGCGCTCGAAGCGAGAACTGGGCAGTAATAGTGCGCCAGAAGTGCTGTAGCTATGCTGGGAGCGAATAAGTACAATAACAGTACGTGATCAACTCAAATCCCGAACTTGATTGCTGCTGGTTTCGTCCGCAAATTCCAGTTAGGAGGGACTTGCGATGCGATTGTTGTCAGATCACGCTAGTATAGTGCATGCACATTCTACCACAAATAAAGCAAATCAATACAAACTCATACCGTATCTCAGATTGATAATCTGAAAAAAAAACCTTATCTCATATCTCATATTCATAACATGGAAAAAAACAATATCTTCTGAAACTGGGGACTAATAGTTTCTGTAATTCTTATCACACAGAACCTCCATGTATCCAGCGTGCGAAAGAACGCCCTTGATTGATTTTCAGTATGATTAAATGTTGGAATGATCTTTGTTAGAATGGTCTAAGCTATTAGCAGAAGCTATAGAAGTCTTAGAACCTCCTCCTAAAGCCTAGGAATCTTATGAGCCAACTTGGGCATGAACCATGCTAGAACCAAAGGGGTTTACAAGAAGTGAAGTTCCAACAAAAGAGAACCCTAACCTATAAAGTTGGGGAGGTGGTCCACTCTAAAGAGTTTGTTGTCTTAGTCGCTGAGCTTGTTGACTTTGCTGCTGCCTGTCGTCTCGACTACGCCGCCAGTCTTGTTGCTGAGTCTGAGTCTGTCTGTCCTCCGTCCGTCGGGGGTGAGTGTGCTCTTGGCACGGACGTCCTTGAGGACAGACAGGAGGACCTTGAGTGTCTTGCAGCCGCTGCGCCTCATCTCGTATCCATGCTGCTTGCCCCTGAGGGAGACCCGGATGCACCAGACATCCCTACCCCGCGCTCTTACGCTGAGGCGATCGCGGGTGAGTACTCCTCTCAGTGGCAGACAGCCATGGACGCAGAGATGGCATCCTGGAAGTCCACAGGCACCTACGTCGACGAGGTTCCCCCTCCTGGGGCGAACATTGTCAGTGGCATGTGGATTTTCAGGGTGAAGCGGCCGCCAGGTTCTCCGCCTGTCTTCAAGGCTCGGTACGTGGCTCGAGGCTTCAGTCAGCGAGAGGGAGTTGACTTCTTCCAGACCTTCTCCCCCACCCCGAAGATGACCACTCTTCGGGTGCTGCTGCACGTTGCCGCTCAGCGTGACTACGAGCTTCACTCTCTTGACTTTAGCACAGCCTTCTTACAGGGCAGCCTGCACGAGGAGATTTGGCTGCGCCGCCCTCCTGGCTTTACTGGGTCGTTCCCTCCTGGTACCCAGTGGAGCCTCCGGCGGCCGGTCTACGGTCTCCGCCAGGCGCCACGTGAGTGGCACGACACACTGAGGACGACACTTGCGGCTCTTGGGTTTGCTCCGTCGACTGCTGACCCGTCGCTGTTTTTGCGCACTGACACTTCTCTGCCGCCGTTCTACGTTCTCAAGTACGTCGACGACTTGGTCTTTGCCACTGCTGACACTGAGGCTCTCGCCCTGGTGAAGTCGGAGCTGCAGAAGAGACACACGTGCACAGACCTGGGTGAACTGCGCAGCTACCTTGGCTTGCAGATCACCCGGGACAGAGCACGCCGCACCATCACACTGACTCAGTCACACATGGTGCAGCAGGTCCTTCAGCGCTTCGGTTTCACCTGGTCCTCAGCACAGGCCACTCCTCTGGCTACAGGTCACTCGCTCTCAGCTCCACCTTCGGACGAGTCCGTAGAGCCGAGTGGTCCTTACCCAGAGTTAGTGGGCTGCCTCATGTACCTGATGACTTGCACTCGTCCTGACCTTGCGTACCCTCTTGGCCTTCTGGCTCGCTACGTGGCTCCTGGTCGGCACCGAAAGGTGCACATGGATGCTGCCAAGAGGGTACTACGCTACTTGTGCAGTACATCGGGCATGGGGCTCGTGCTTGGAGGACGGGGTGACGTTGTCCTCACAGGTCACTCGGATGCCTCTTGGGTTGACGACCAGGCTACGCAGCGGTCGTCACAGGGTTACACCTTCAGCCTTGGTTCTGGTTCAGTTTCCTGGCGTTCTACACGTTCGTCTTCAGTTCTAGGCTCCAGCTGTGAGGCAGAGATCTACGCCACAGCCATGGCTGCACAGGAGCTGCGCTGGCTCACCTACCTGCTGACCGACTTGGGAGAGAGGTCTCGTTCTCCTCCAGTTCTGTACGTCGACAACAAGGCCGCCATTGCCTTGTGTCAGGAGCACAGACTGGAGCACAGAACAAAGCACATAGCTCTCCGTTACTTTCTTGCTCGAGAGCTGCAGCAGCGTGGCCAGCTTCGTCTTACCTACGTGGCCACTCGGGCCAACACTGCTGATATATTCACCAAGGCGCTTCCGCCTGGTGATCATCAGCGTTTCTGCACTTTGTTAGGCCTTGTGCCCACTCTTCCTCACTTGCTGTAGGCCTTGTTTGTACCATGATTTATATGTATTCCTGCATGCTTGTTCTTGTAGGTAGATATCACTGTACTGTTGTTGTTACATATATATTTCTCCATGTGAACTGGCCTTGTGGCCTTCTTGCTTGTGCTCAGACTGCGTGGTGACGTTGTGATCCACCCTGAGCTTGCTTTGCACTTCCTGACTGGTCTTGTGACCCTCTGTTCTCCCCCACTTTGCCTATGGGGGTGTGTCAAACATATGTGTATATTTGTTATAGTTTGGTTAGGCTTAGTGGGTTACTCACTGTGGGGTACAACCCCTTTGGTTTCTCCTTTGTATCTTTTCCCTCGATAGTCGACACACACTTTTCCGTAAGATTATGACATCTAAGCTATTAGCAGAAGCTATAGAAGTCTTAGAACCTCCTCCTAAAGCCTAGGAATCTTATGAGCCAACTTGGGCATGAACCATGCTAGAACCAAAGGGGTTTACAAGAAGTGAAGTTCCAACAAAAGAGAACCTTAACCTATAAAGTTGGGGAGGTGGTCCACTCTAAAGAGTATACACCACAAGTTCTCCTTGTAGAATGGACTAAGCTACTAGCGGAAGCTTTAGTAGTCTTAGAACTTCCTCCTAAAGCCTAGGAATCTTAGGAGCCCACTTGGGCATGAACCATGCTAGAACCAAAGTGGTTTCCAAGAAGTGAAGTTCCAACAAGAGAGAACCCTAACCTATAGGGTTTGGGAGGTGGTCCACTCTATAGAGTGTACACCACAAGTTCTCCCAACCCAACCAATGTATTCTACACTACTATAGTGTAGATGTATCACTACATATGTTTATTGGAGCAACTCGAATTAACCTTAATTCCAACACCCCCCTTTGCTCCAATAAGCATTAAAGTTCACCCATAAATCAAAACACAACCCCTCCAGCGAATGAAGCCTTGGCCTTCGCAGCCATCACTCGCATGCCGATGCGCTCCAAGTTCTCATACAGCTGCAAGCTTGGAAGAGCTTTGGTGAGCATGTCGGCATCCTGGAGGTGGGAGCGTACTGAGTGCACCTCGACCTCCTGCTGGCGCACCGCATCCCGTACAAAGTGCCATGCCACCTTAATGCGTTTGGTGCGCTGATGGAGAACGGGATTGTGGGCAAGGGAGACAGCAACCTCATTATCACAGAGCAATGGAATAGCCCCCCCATCCCCCACATGCATCTCTGCCAACAAACTCCTCAACCAAATGGCCTCCTTGGCCCCTTCCGATAGAGCTTTGTACTCAGCTTCAGAAACGCTTGCTGCAACACTGTCTTGCTTTTTGCTATACCAGCTGATTGCTCCTCCTCCCAGCTTAAAGATGTAGGCAGAGCGACTCTTGCCATCAGTCTCACCACCCCAATCCGAGTCTGTGTACCCAACAACCTGCTCACCACCTTGGCGCTCATACCTGATGACACGATCAGCTGTGTCGACCAAGTACATGAGTGCTCTCAGTGCAGCGCGCATGTGAATGCGTGTTGGTGCCACGCAGGACTGTGCAAGGGTGTTGACAGTGAAAGACATGTCAGGACGGGTGGTCACAGCAGCATACATCAAGCTGCCAATGAGACTCTGGTACACCTTGACATCAGCTGCAACACTTTCTTCAGTCGACCAAGTACCATTCCTGATCTTAGAGAGATCATTGGGTGACATTGGAGTATGCACCCTATGGGTCTCCTTCAGCAGATCACCAAACCTTCCCTGGAGACCACGGACATACTTCTCCTGACCAATCTCCAACCACCCATCCTTGACCGACCTGCGAACCTCCACACCAAGGTACGTGGATACCTCACCTAGATCCTTCATTTGGTACCTCTGAGCAAGCACCTCCTTGACCTGGCCGATCAGCTCCAAGCGTGGAGACACAAGTAAGAGGTCATCCACATACACCAATACATACACTGGCTCTTCATCCACAAACCTGATGTACAGAGCCTCATCACATGCACTGCGGTCAAACCCTGCTGCAATCAGGGTGGTACCAATCTCCTCATTCCAAGCACGAGGCGCTTGCTTGAGCCCATAGAGAGCTTTGCGCAAGCGATACACCGTACCTGTACCATCATCAAATCCCTCAGGTTGCCTCACATACACCTCTTCTTGAAGGACTGCATTGAGGTAAGCATGATCAACATCCTCCTGTTGTACATGCCACCCTTTTACCGCGGCTTCTGCAAGAAGCATCCGACCTGAGGTGAGCTTGCCCGCAGGGGCAAATACCTGATCATAGTCCTTCTCGGGCTCCTGAGTGTACCCCTTAGCAACAAGGCGAACCTTGTGCTGTACCACCTTATCCTCCTTGTCAGTTTTCCTGCGGAAAACGTACCTGACCCCAATGGCCTTCTTACCTGGAGGTAAGTCGACCGGCTCTGGATCCCATACACCCATAGTGCGCATTGCATTTACCTCCTTCTCAGCGCCTGCCTTCCACGCAGGGCCCTCAGGGCCACGCAGGGCCTCAGCGAGTGTGCGTGGGACATCACCGGTGCTCACACCTGCCAGTGCAACACCTTCCACCTCCTTGGCCAAATAGAGCATGCCCTCAACCACACCAGCATCCCCCCTTACCTCCTCACCACCTGTACCAGACTGGATACCAAGCACCTGCAAACCCGTAACCGGTGGTGGGGAGGTAGTCGCTGGTGACGGAGGGGCACCCGTAGAGAGAGGGACAGAGCGCTGACCAGAGGAGGAGGAAGAGGAAGTAGCCTGTGTAGCGGATCTCCGCTGAATGACCGAGGGGCCACTGAGCTGCTGCAGAGGGGTGGGCTGCTGCTGCACCGACACACTCAGCGGTGCCGGTGGCCGTGATGAAGGTGGCATCTCAACGTCGTCAGCCGGTGCTGAGGGTGGCGGGAGTGGAAGAGGGAGGAGTTGGGAAATCGCAGCTGCATCCTGCAGAAGCTCCCCAAATCCCTTTGCCTTGTCCCAATCCTTCAACATCACATTCTCAAGAAAATCAACATCCCGAGCAATGCGAATGCGCATGAGAGAAGGGCCCAGCATGCGCCAACCCTTGCTCTCCATATCCACCCCAACGCAGACACACATGACAGCCCGTGCTCAAGCTTGCCACCCTTCTCATGCCCATGCAGCATGACACTCCCCATGCAACCCCAAATCCGAGCCATGCCCACATGCGGCTTTTGGCCGGACCACGCCTCCATTGGTGTGATGGAGGCAGGCAAAGCACTGTGGGTGACCCTGTTCTTAACCCACATGACCCACATCAATGCTTCACCCCACAAGCGAGCAGGGAGACCACTGTCGACCAACAATGTGCGAATCCCCTCTGCCATCGTCCTATGCCACCTCTCCACGACCCCATTCTGCTGCGGTGTATCTGCGACACTCAATTGGGTTTTGATGCCAAACTCCGCTTTCCATGCTTTCACAGCGTCCCCCAAGAACTCGCCACCCCTGTCGGAGCGAACAGCCTTCAGCTTTCGCCCACACTCCAACTCCACGTCCTTATGCGACTGGCGAAGGACTTTTGCGACTGTGGCCGATTCCTTGTTGGGGAGTGGGAACGACCAAACTCGCCTGGTGAAGTCGTCAATGAGACTGAGGACATACACCGCTCCTCCCAGTGACGGTGTGCGCACTGGCCCCCACAAATCCATGTGGACCTCATCCAAAGGCCTAAGTGCCCGAGACGCCTCGTGGGGAAACAGCTTCCGAGCCGACTTTCCCAATAAGCAAGGCTCACATGGGGAGCAATCAGTGCTCCCCCCCCCGATCTCCAAGCCCAGTACACTGTTCCCCCGAGCCATCTGTTGCAATGTTGTGGGGGCGGTGTGACCAAGGCGGCGATGAGCAAGGGTCAATGGGGAAAATGAGGAGGAGGACCCAGCTGCAAGAGCACTGCCTTGTGTGCCCCGAGCAAGAGGAAGAGACATCCGCACCAATCCATGGTCCCTGCCCCTCTCCTTTTCTCCAATCGCCAACACCACCCCCCCCCCCCCCGTTTAAGAACACATTTCTTGCCCTTGAATGTGACAATGACATCTCGAGAGGTGAGGTGTGGGACTGACAGCAGACGCGTGTGCATCTCAGGCACAAGGTGGACCTTTTGAATCCTCAGCAGCTGACCTCCAGCACCAACCACTGGCACCTCACCCATGCCAACAGCTTTCACCACCCGTCCATCTCCCAATCTAACTCCCCGAACCTCTGGTGGCTGAAGTTTACTTTTGAAGTCCGATGCATAAGGAGTAAAGTTGTGGCTGGCCCCACTGTCAATCCACCACCCCTCTCGCGGCTGCTCCTCTCCTACTGCTGCAACTGCCTCTCCAACCACTGCCTCGGCCTTGTCATCCTGCTCCTCCTTATCCGCCACCTGTGCCTTGCCGTTGGATCCACGACCCCCCCGCTTTAAGAATGCCGGAATGTCTCCCTTAGGTCGATGAGGACATTGCTGTCATGCATGTCCCTCATCCCAACAGCCATGACACAACCCCCGAGGAGCCATGCCCTTGGACCCCCAGGGGAAATCAAGCACTCCCGCTTTGCCTTTTCCTTGACCCCATCTGCCCGAGTTGGTGTCACTGCTGCTACTGCTGCCTCCATGCTTTCCTCCCTTGTCCCAATTTCCCCTGCCGCTGCTGCCCACTTTCGTACCCGCTCCAAAAGTGGCTACACCATCTGATCTTGGTGCAACACCAATCCGCATCTCCTCGCTCCTCAAGGAGGTAAGCAGCTGATCCTTAGTAAGCGATGGTGATTGGTTGTTCAGCACTACCTTCAGCATCTCAAAGTGAGGAGGTAGTCCTTTCAGTACCCTCATCATCCACTCATCAACCTCTTCCTTCCCTCCTGCAGCCAAGTACTTGGACCTCAAGTTCTCGGCACGCGCCCAGTATGCAGCCACTCCCTCCCCTTCTTTCATCTTCAAGGAAGAGAGTTCCTTAGAGAGTGCCATCCGGTTACACAATCCACGCTGAAGGTAGAACTCCTTCACTCGTGTGTATGCCGCTGCTGTGCCTGCAGGAACTCGGGTGACCGCTCTTGCTCCGCCATCAACAGATGCGTTTCCCAACTCGGTCTTGCCGCCAAACTCCCGTACCAAGCGAATCAACTCATCTGGCACCAAGGCATTGCAGAATTGGGCAAATGCCTTCTTATTTCTCCTCTCCCACTTTAGCCGTGCGTCACCCGATGCAGGCCGCTCCTCCGAACCATCAAAGTACCCCCATAGATCGTGCGCCTCTGCCCATTGCTCGAATCGGAAGCTCCAAGTCCAATAGTCGCTCCCGTCGAACTTTGGCGCACTCTCCAGCTTCCTTTCGCCTGAGTCATGATCCATTTGCGGCAGAAGCGTGTCAGAATCCCAACCACTAGACCATTGGGATAAAAGGGCTTGTTAAGTAGCGGATCAGCGTGCGCCCATAACCCCCCAGGCGAACGCGCCTGTAACCCCCCTTGGATCAATCGAGCATCCACAGTGCAGATCTACTGACACCCCCCCATACTGGGAGGCCCAGGACTGAGCACAGCGGCAACGGCCTACATGTGCATACACCGGGATTCGAACCCGAGACCACTCTAACACCATGTCAGAATCCCAATCACTAGACCATTGGGATAGAAGGGCTTTTTAAGTAGCGGATCAGAGTGTGCCCATAACCCCCCAGGCGAACGCGCCTGTAACCCTTCCCTAGGATCAATCGGGGATCACCAGTGGACCTCTGACACCCCCCCGCACTGGGATGCCCGAAGTGCACACACTGGGATTCGAACCCGAGACCTTCGCTCTGATACCATGTCAGAATCCCAACCACTAGACCATTGGGATAAAAGGGCTTGTTAAGTAGCGGATCAGAGTGCGCCCATAACCCCCCAGGCGAACGCGCCTGTAACCCCCCTTGGATCAATCGAGCATCCACAGTGCAGATCTACTGACAAAGCGCTGAAGATTGACGTTGAGGTGGTGGTGGAGGCAACGACGGTGACGGTGAAGATGATGCGGGCAGATTCACACCCTCTTGGTTATTAGAGCGTAACTCCGTGCTCGAACGTCCGAATGATGAGCCGTTTAGCTCAAATGAATCCTTGCTCCAAGACCGTTCCGATAATGTATCGCGCTCCTGGATCCCGCATCCGAGCTGGCCACTTAAACTCGTCGAAGTTGGCCGATTTCCCGTCGACGAAGACTCGACCGTTTCTCTCGATTTTTAGCTTGTTGGATGCGCCCTGGCCTCCTCTGTCGGCGTCTGCCCTCCAATCTTTTTTCCGCGCTTTAAATCTTCCCCGATTCGCGATTTGCCAATTCGTCCGCCGACTGTATTTCGCGAATTTCGTCCGATCCGCTCGTCGATTGGCAACGACCCCAAGGCAATTGTTGTAGATCGTGCCGAGACCTTTCCAACGATATGCTGCACGTCTTGATCGGCCAAAGTTGACTGAGCGCCTCCGTGAATGGATGTCGCTCTTCTGGTCCTCCCGAACGGATCCACGCGATTTCCAGCAGTTTTCTTCTCTCCTCCTTCCCTCCCACGTCCAGAGTCCGCCACGGTGCAATTTCGGCAGCCCTTCGGGAGGGATGGAAGCTATTTAGCTTCCACCAAGGTGTTATGATCAAATTTCTTGAGTAGCTCCTATTCCAACAGATTGCTCTGATACCATGTTAGAATGGACTAAGCTACTAGCAGAAGCTTTAGTAGTCTTAGAACTTCCTCCTAAAGCCTAGGAATCTTAGGAGCCCACTTGGGCATGAACCATGCTAGAACGAAAGTGGTTTCCAAGAAGTGAAGTTCCAACAAGAGAGAACCCTAACCTATAGGGTTTGGGAGGTGGTCCACTCTATAGAGTGTACACCACAAGTTCTCCCAACCCAACCAATGTATTCTACACTACTATAGTGTAGATGTATCACTACATATGTTTATTGGAGCAACCCGAATTAACCTTAATTCCAACACTCCTAACCCAACCAATGTGTTCTACACTATAGCAGTGTAAATCTAGCACTAAATGTGTTTATTGGAGCAACCCGAATTAACAATAATTCCAACACCCCCCTCTTGCTCCAATAAGCATTAAAGTTCACCCATAAATCAAAAGACATTTTTTTTTTAACGAATGAAGCGATGGCCTTTGAAGCCATCACTCGCATGCCGATGCGCTCAAGATTCTCATGCAGCTGCAAGCTTGGGAGAGCTTTGGTATGCATGTCGGCATCTTGGAGGTGGGAGCGTACTGAGTGCACCTCGACCTCCTGCTAGCGCACCACATCCCATACAAAGTGCCAAGCCACCTTAATGTGCTTGGTGCGCTGATGGAGAACGGGATTGTGGGCAAGGGAAACAGAACCGTCAGAATGTTTTAGTGCTTTCATTTGTGTAGACTATAATGGGGTAGCCCATTAGGGGTACAACCCAATTAGGGTTAGTACTTGTAACCAACTCTTTCATAGTTCATTCATTCTCGTTTGTTAGTTTGACATGGTTTCAGAGCAGGTCCTTCGTTAGGACCGATTTTTTGGGCCCACCACAACGCTGCCCCACTAGCCGCCCTGCTGGCTCACGCGCCGCCCCTAGCGACCCTCGTGTCGCACCTGCTGCCCCGCGCGCCGCCCACTTGCGGCCCGCCCGTCGACCCTAGGCCCCGCGTGCCCCGTCGACCCTAGGCCCAGCCCCGCCCCGTCGACCGTAGGCCCCACGTGCCCCGTCGATCCTAGCCCGGCCCGCCCGTCGACCCTAGGCTCCGGCCCGCCCGTCGCCTCTAGGCCCCGGCCCGCCCCTCGCCCTTGTAGCCCGCGAGCCGCCCTTGCAGCCCTGCGGGCCGCCCCTGGTGGCCCCCTAGCCGCCCCTGCTGCCCTGCTAGCCGCCCCTTGCGGCCCTCTCGCAGCCCCTGCAGCCCCACGTGCCGCTCCTTGCGACCCGCCCGCCGCCCCTAGGCCCGCCGGCCGCCCCTAGGTCCTCGAGCCGCCCCTCATGCAGCCTGCGCACCGCCTCTTGCAACCTGCTCCCCCCCCCCCCCCCCTTTCTTCTGCCTGCCCTGTTCCCTGCGCTGCCCGGCCTCTGCCCACCCTGTGTGCTGCGTAGATATGGCTTCTCTCCGCGTTCTTGCGTTCATCATGAGGGCCGACCGATCCAGCTTGACACGTGGCTCGACGACCTGCAGCTGTACCTACTGAGCGACTCTAGGGACAGCGTTTCGTTGTTTGACCACACGTCTGGCGCCGCTCCCGGCCCTCTCGCCACAGCTGACAGTGCAACTCGCTCACAGTGGCTTACTCGCGACGCTGCTGCTCGCTTAGCCATTCCCAACCACCTGCCGTTAGCCGAATGCGCTCACTTCGGACAGCACAGGACTGCACAGGCACTGTACGACGCTGTAGTCGCCCGGTACTCCTCGCCTGCCACTGCTGCTCTAGGCCGTCTTCTCCTGCCCTACCTGTTTCCCGAGCTGTCCGCCTTTGCCACAGTAGAGGACCTCGTTTCCTACCTTCGCACTAGCGACGCTCGCTACCGCGCTGCCCTCCCAGCAGAGTTCCTTGATAGGAACCCACCCCCGATGTACATCACTCTCTACTTCATAGTCACCCGCCTCCCTGACTCTCTTCGTGCTGTCACGGACCACTTTCTCGCACTTGACCCTACTGATCTCACAGTCGACCTGCTCGAGCAGCACCTCCTTGCAGCTGAGAGTAGCGTAGTCACTGTAGGTGCTGCTCGTGGTACTCCGCGCACATCCTTCTTTGAGGGGCGCTCCCCCTCCCCCCTTGCCCCCTCCTACGCCTCTGCAGCTGTTGTTGACGTCCTTGGTGCTGAGGACGTCGGGGCTGCTTCTGCTAGTGCGAAGCGCCGTAGCAGCGAGGGCAAGGGTGGTAGGGGTGGTGGCGGTGACAGCGGGGGTGGTGGTGGGGGCAGCAGTGGAGGTGGTGGCGGTAGTGGAGGTGGTGGCAGTAGTGGGAGTGGTGTCGGGAGTGGGGGCTTTGGTCGAGGCGGTGGTGGCAGCGGTGGGGGTGGCGGTAGTGGCGGCAGTGGGAGTGGTGGCGGCCAGGCTGGAGCTACTCAGCGTGGAGGCTCTGGCGGTGGCCAGAGGCAGCAGCAGTAGCGTCGGAGCGAGACCCCATCGCCCCAGCAGCTTTGTGAGTGGTTTTCTCGGCGTGGGGCGTCTGGGGGTAGTGGTAGCTGCCCGTATGTCATTCGCACGGGTGACCGTGCTAGTCAGACATGCGGGAAGCCTCACACTCAGCACCGCTGCTTCTCCCGCCTCGACGACACTTGGCGCGCAGAGTTTGGTGACGAGGCCGAGCGCCCTTGCTGGGCAGAGCTGCTTAGGTCTGGAGTTGCTATCTTTGACCTAGACTATGATGTTATCCTGTGTGTGCCGCCTGTTTGTTAGTGCTGAGGGTGACTGTTACCTGTGTGTGCCGCTTGACCCATGTATAGAGGTTGCTGCTCTAGGTGCTGGTGAGTCTGCTCTCCCTGGTACTGCGCCTGCTGAGGCCTTGCACACCTTTACACTTGACTCAGGTGCTTCATGCTGTTTCTTTCGCGACAGTACCACCCTCACTCCTCTCTCTGCACCTGTACCGGTCAGACTGGCTGACCCCTCAAGGGGCCCGGTCCTTGCCCGTTCCTCCACTGTTCTCCCGTGTCCGGCGGTTCCGTCTGGCTCACTGTCAGGCATTCACCTCCCCTCGTTCTCTACGAACTTGGTGAGTACCGCTGCCCTCCAAGAGGCGATAGTCACTACCACCACTCTTGGGGGTCAGCGTGTGTCGATCTGCACGTGTACACGGGCGGACTGCCACCTGGCCACGTTCACCTATCGGCTTGGGTCGAGTCTGAACACACTGGCTACTGAGCCTCGTCCAGTAGCTGCGTCTGCCCAGGTGTCCGCGTAAGGTCCGGTAGCACCCCCTTGCTCGTGTCACCTCCTCTCCCACCAGACTCTCCTATGGCACCACCGCCTGGGTCACCCCTCCCTGCCACGCCTTCGTGGCATGCACTCACGCCTCCTTGTCTCTGGTCTTCCTAGGTCTCTGCCTCCCCTCCCGACGTCGCCTGCCACACCCTGTCTTCCTTGCGTCGAGGGGCGGCAGCGCGCCGCTCCTCACTCCTCCTCGTTTCCCCCGATGACTGCTTCCCTGCAGACTCTCCACATGGACGTGTGGGGCCCAGCCCGCGTCAGTGGACAAGGCCGCGAGCGCTACTTTCTGCTAGTTGTTGACGACTACACGCGCTACACCACGGTCTTCCCCTTGCGCAGCAAGGGTGAGGTCCCTGATGTCTTGATCACTTGGATCCGCGCAGTCCGACTCCAACTTAGCGAGCGGTTCCGCCAGGACCTTCT